TCGAACATTATGGGAATTTCGCCTTTCACGCGCTTCAAGAGATAAAAAAATGAGGGCTATGTCCAATAATCTCTTCTTAGTCACTTTACAGTTCCTCAATGATATTTGCATCTTATTTTTTATACTCCTGGACACGGATGTCACGCAGGTAGCTATAGCTGCCTCCGTGGTGACGTTAGCTGTTTCTCTCAGACCTCAGGGTCACCAAGTGCTGCCTATCCTTCGCACTTCCTTTCACCGTACTGATGAGGGCCAAAAGCCCGAAACACGTGTATACGGTTATCTCTTTGTGAGGGCTATGTCCAATAATCTCTTCCTAGTAACTTTACAGTTCTCTCGATATGTATACCTATATACAGGGTTTCCCAAAAGAACCGGCACGGCCGAATATTTCAGCAACGGCTCGACATAAAATTATGAAATTTGGTATACGGTGGTAATCAGTTGTGCCGGATCTAAAAATAATATTTGCAACGTTGTCAGTTTTACAGCTTTTCCTATAGTGCCCTCAATTTTATTTTTTTAAATTTAATGCTATGTTTATTTTTAGCGCATTCGATTTGTCATCTCAAAACTACTATGACCCTATAATATCAAATTTGTATTCCCTTTATTTTTGTTGATATGAACATTTCATCAAAAAATATCACAAAATTTCAATATTTCGAGAAATTGTGGCGATATGACAAGAAAAATTAATTCATAAGGAATGTTAATACTAAATCTTCCTAAGTATTTATTTAAACTGCGTTTTAAATAGATCGGCAAACTCTAGATTTTTTCATTTGTTTCTCGGGAAACTAATTCATAAACTTCTTGATAGCTTCTCATGATCAATAGAGTTTGATTTGTTTATGTTAAAAGAATGTTACTTCATGGCATCAAATAAAATGCTCGATAATTAAGAAGGCAGTTTAAATAAGTACTTAGGAAGATTTAGTATTAAACAACATGTAGATTTGGCAACGTTGTAAATTGTATTTTCAGATCAGACTTGCTGAAAACTTACTTATAAATTAATTTTTATTGTCATATCGCCACGATTTCTCGAAATATTGGAATTTTGTGATATTTTTTGACAAAATGTTCATTTGTCATATTAACAAAAATGAAGGGAATACAAATTTGATGCGCTAAAAATAAACATAGCATTACATTTGAAAAAAAAAGTCGAGGGCTCTATAGGAAAAACTGTAAAACTGGCAACGTTGCAAATTTTATTTTTAGATCCGGCACAACTGATTACCCCCGTATACCAAATTTCATAATTTTATGTCAAGCCGTTGCTGGAATATTCGGCTGTTCCGGTTCTTTTGGGAAACCCTGTATATGTATATAATTCTCGAATATTCTAATGAAATACCCTGTCGTATCTCAGACAAGAGACACATTTTATCTAGATGATTTGGGTTAATCTTCATATTATGAGCTCAGGATTCCAAAGTTGAAATATTTCCAATAAGTTGATATCAACTGTAACAATTTCCACTAAATAAATCTGAATCGAAATTCTAAATAACGTATTTCACACCATCAAAAAATAAGTTTGGGTCGGGATTTGGCTGATGGTAATAGTATAAGTATTAGGTATAGCACCTGCACCTGCAACTTGTTTTTCTACCTGTCTTCTTTACTGTGAAAGATTGATAGAAGTAGGTATATATTATCATATTCACCTTATATACTATACCTACCTTCTTTTATCCCATACCCGTTATCCGGTACCAGAACTTTGTCCAAGCTCTGATGAAATTAGTAAGGGCGCAAATGGTTTTATTGTATCAATGAGATGAGCCATAACATTTTTTATCTCTTGGAGCGCACGAAAGGAAATTCCTAAAATGTTCGTGGAACATCGCGCGTACCTATATAGGGAGAATAGGGAGAGAAGGTAGGTGTTGGGATGTTTTCGAACTTTTGGAGGTCATAAGTAAATCTTGGGCATACTTCCATTGGCAAAGATTTCGCCGTCCAATGGACGAACGAGTATTGGTAAAGTATTGTCCGACATTTTTCAACGTTAACGACGAAGGGATGTGCTGACTGGGCCTGTCGAGTTCTTCTGACTGGTATTGCTTGTGATGGAATTATAGCAGGGATTTCTGAGGAACATTTCCCGTGAAAGTATCTGTAGAAAAGCGAAATACTTTTCTACTGTGTTCTAATGGGGTGGAAGAGTAGCTGAATAGGGCATCACCCACCAGGCGAACGGCTCTTCTCTAAATGGAATCTAAGAGCATTTGGGTGCTGAATGCAGACATGACAACAGTCTATTCTAATTGAAAAGGAATATTCTCAGATATATTTATGAACACAAAAAAATGGATTTATACAGGGTGGCATTAAAATAAGTGCAAATATTTCAAACACTGAGAAAGCTCGACGTGTACTATCGAATGGCACTAATAAAAAAATTTAGGGGTCAAAATGAAATTTGAGGTTAGACCCTTTTTTCCACCAAAAGTTCTACAGTAGCAAATCTGACCTCTGTTCAAATTTCCATGCGGTAGGCACTCAATCATTTAAATTGTTTTAAAGTGGCGTACTTGATCTTTTTCTCGTATTTTGTTCAATTTTTGAGATGAAATTTCTTGTTAATCAGGAGAATTAGAAAAAATCTAATATCATGGGAATATTCCTTAGACTGTATCATATTAATGTGCTGAATATGTGCACTTATTTCAAAAACACCTTGTATATAAAGAAATACATTGAGAATTCGCATTCTCCATGTGATGAAAATATTAATTCTTTCTCGGTTTATTCAACAGAAAACAACTACTTTCCTGGCTATATGCCACGACGAACATTGAATTATATCTATTGAACACATCGAAAACAAAATCTTCTGAAGTAGTTTATATAAAGATATGCACATAATATCATTCTGAAGATTCAACAGAAAATAACTACTTCCCTGGCTATTTGCCACGTCCAACATTGAATTATATCTGTTGAATTTCCAAAAAGAGATCATGAAAAATCAAAATCCTCTGAAATTGAGAATTGACACTATCCCTCAAATCAAATAGAATAAAATTATGATGTATTATGATATAAAAATATAACTTACCTACCAATATCCCAGACAGCACTGGATATTCATAGAATATTCTCTAAATATGCTAAAAAGGAGGAGTATATTCCGAATATTCATCGATTATTCCTAGAATATATACATGCCTCTGGAACATCTGAAAGGAATATTCCAAAGTGAATAGTCGGACATGTTCAGGGAATATTCAGGTATGAAACTTCCAGGAATATTCCCAACTGAATATTCTCTGTTGTATATTCATGAAATATACCCAACTGAATATTCTGTGCGGTATATTCATGAAATATACCCAACTATGAATGTTCTGTGCGGTATATTCATGAAATATTCTCAACTGAATATTCTGTGGTGTATATTCATGAAATATTCCATGAATATTCCTATGTTTCTCAACACATAAATACCATTTATTATTTCAGAGATGTGAGTATCGAACATCAATTAGATATAAGGGGATTTTTAAACAAAAAGTGTTTATGATCCGATTTCGAACAATGCTCTCACAAGAACTTGATATGTATAACATTATTCAATTCGATTACTGGCCTAGTGGTCAAGGCGTTGCTCTGATAGTCTTGAGGTCACGAGTTCGATCCCTACTTGGGTCACTTTTTTTATTTTAGAATATGTTTATTGGAATATTCCAGGATCATTCAACATAGAATATTCTTTTGGGTATATTCTATGATTATCTGAGGAATTCCCATTCGCATATTTAGAGAATATTCTACAGATATTCCGGAATATTCCAGATTATTTCTAGAATATTCTGAAAGGAATATGATAGGGAGATTCATGGAATATCTGGTGCTGTCTGGGATGTTCAGTATTGATGAATATCAATTTATCATTCATCCACCAAAAAAAAGTATATTCTAAAACTGGCCGTATCTGTGCTTTTTAGAACAAAAGAAGCTGTTGAGGAGTAAAGTAGATTTTCGCACGGAACAAGAATCCGAGTTTTTGTGAAGCAGCTTCCGCGATGGATCTGACATGACTTGCTGATGGTAATACCGAGTAATGGTCGTATACCAGACATTGTTATATCAGGCATACTGGGTTTCGCCTTTGAACTCGAGTTTTGGTGGCGTTGTGTTCAAAAGTTATTCCTAATATACCCACACTGCATGAACATGTAATGCTTCAAATGTTTGTCACAATAGTTATATTGTAGAGCTTGCTTCCACCATACGAAGGAACAATATCGTTTAAACTTTGCTGCTTCATTTGAGTTAACAATATAACAGAAAAATACTGAAATTTTTTTTGTAAAATATAACCTAACCTGATCTGACCTACCTATTAATTTTGGACTCAATATAGCGACATTGCATTGACCATAAATGTTCATTATGATAGTAAAATCACATATACCTATACTATCTTCTACAAACAATAGGTATATATTATCATCACACACACCAAAGTTACAAAATTTATTCTGCTTGAAATCATTCAAAATTCTTTTAGCGACTGCCGACTACTCGACTAGACAGTTGCCAATAATGATGCCAAATGATTTCTTGGAAACAGATAACTTTTTATTCAATACTGATTGTAATAAACTTTCCGTTTCATTTTGAGATAATAATGTATTATATTTGTGTGAGAAGAAATGGATATACCTATATTAATACTGCGTGCGTGTATACTTATTAGGACTGAGTAATCATTTCAATACAGAAAGAATATTAATTATTGGTGTCGCCTGGAGACAGAAACTTGAACAAAAAACTGAGGCAAATTACGTAACTAGCAGTCCGTATTGTCTGTATGCCCCCAACCTATCTCCCTCGACATCTCGTTTTCTTCTTTTAGCCGAGCTTAAGAGGTGCCTCAACGGCGAGCATGCAATGCATACAAGTCAGAGTGAGAAACAAACGAGAGCGACCACCAAACAACGGGGAGCGAGCAAGCGAGCCTCACTTCACTAAAGCATTCACCCAACCAACAGAACAGAGAAGAGAACAGCCCAACAGTATCGAACGGGAAATCATCGTGTAGACTCGAACGGGGCACCATATTGATATTGATCGCGACCGACAATCGGGGGGTGTAAAAATCCACATTATCTGGCAGTTCGCGAATCGCGATGTGAAATGACAGTGTTTTGTTGAATATTGTGACACTATTGTCACGATTGATCGCGATTGCCGTGCAGTTGTAAGTGGTCTTCTTTTGTATGAGTTCTATTGCGGATACCTGTCTTCTTGATACCTCCTACTACCTGAATGCATCTACGGTCAGGTAGGTACAAGAGTAGCGGTAGGCCAGCCGGAATGTACTCGCCGGAAGTTCTTCGATTGTTAACATTGTTGGTGAACATAACAATAATAATTAACTAACATAGATAATATACAGTTTATATTTTGTTTCCCATTTTGAGTAAGCTGGAGATTTCAAGTTAACCCATTTACGAGCCTATTTTTCTTATTCCCACTCATGTGATGCAGTTAACATTATTACAAAGAAAGCAAAACCCTCGGTAAAACCATTCATATCTACGTGGTTATTGTTCAATAGATAACTAGGTACCTATCAAGATCATGGCAACGAATGGAGTATACCTATCTACCTATCAAATATGTAGATTACACCAATTAGAAAATATTTGTCAATCATTTCAGTAATCACATCTCGACTAGCATTCATAAGTTTCCTTTTCCTATAAGTATACATGATAGGTACGTCCTGGGACAGCGCACTCATGAAATCCAGCGAATTTTTAAATAAAATCTCTAATTTGGCGCCCATCAGGAGGAGCCAGCAGGATCCGAGATTTTCTAGCGGTTTACAATGAACTTAAAAAAGATGAGGTTCTTGGTTTGACGTGTTATAGGTAGACGATCGAAGAGGTAGACATTTTTTGAATAAGCTATAAGTGAGTGAAGTTCATATACCTCGGTTCTGATTTGATAACTCATTAATTATTATAAACAAAAATTAATGAGTCGTGCACAAGGCACAATTTTGAAAAATAGCGAAGGTTCTCCCGGTCAATATTTACTTTTGTATTCACCTATATCGTGAATGAATATTTCCTAGTCAAACTGCCGAAAATTGCATAGAAAAAAAATTGGGAAAGGAAATGCCCCTGCCCCACCTATTTCCCACTCCCCTCAAAATTTTGGAAAACTCCTCGGAAAACTCTTAACATTGCCAAATTGGGCATGTAAGGTAATCTCGAAGGTAATATTATACATGTTTCGTTATCTCATCAGAGGTTTTCGGAAATATTTACATAAAAACATCATCTCGGGCCCCCTTTCAGAAGGCTATAACTTCTCAGGGGGGCATTTCTGGGCTCATGTTTATATAAAAGGACACCCTGTGTATTGCCGATAAAGTGGAAAATAATTCAAGTAGATTTTTAAAAAGTTCAGCATACCAACACCAAATTTGAAGGGGGCTTTGTCTCTGGTTTTGTCCATCGAACAAAACCAAATGATTACACTCTCCATGATACTGCAATGGAGACTGCAATACCCGGAATACCCGAGAATACCTGTGGCAATACAGCTACACCGAGAGCTACACTAGGTCGACAGACTTCAGGAATTTCGTTCGTTTTTTTCTCGAGTATTCTTATTATATAATGCCTATAATATCACAATTGATACAATGTGTTACCCATAGCATATGTCACCTGGGATTTCATCCGTTAATCAGAAAATTGTAATTCACATTTTGTCAATTAGTATCCTCGGCATCATCAGAAGCTTTGTATGATATGACATAGCCTGGTCCTAACTTAACACTCTGTACTACATTATTTCACAGGAATTGTCCTGTATTTATTACTATTAATTTACTTTTCTGGCAACCGTCCGGAAAATGCTTTTTCTTTGAGAAATTAGCATTTTTCAGGCCTAGTCCGGGAAGTATCACATCGTTGTTGCCACTGTAACTATAAAAATCTTGGTTAAAAAGGTTTTGATAAATGCAGATGATAATTACCAAAGCAGCGAAATATCGGCAGACAGCTATTTGACATGAAATTAGTTGACATTTGGATTTTCGAAAGTTTGGTTGCAGCAATTATCGCAATAAACTATCGAAAGCAGCAGCGATAGTGAGTTTGAAAATGTACATAGGAAATTTCCAATGTAGCAGTTAGTAGGTATAGGAGTTCTGTTCAAATTTCGGTATTTGATAGTTTGATACGAATAAGAATTAATAAAGATGAAATTGTAGTCCACAAAGAAATATAATGTGGAAATGTGTCTCATTGAATTGTTATTCTACACATGGTTTCCGAAAAATTGTGTACGCAACAACGCAACACGTCCAAAATTATTTTTTTTTTGGCTCGCAGACTTCCAGGACTCGCCTACGGCTCGGCCTAGAATTTTGTGTACTCGTCCAAAAAAACAGTATATATTTTCCGGACATGTTACGTAAATTACTATTACGGCACCTGTACTCGCGGTTATTATTCCAGGTAGAAAATAATGCACACACCGGACGGCACACTGGAAAGAGGCCAGGCACCACCCCCTTATTCATTGCCTACCACTGTGCATCAGAGCCTTTTCGATGACGAGGAAACAACTCTACCGCACCTCATGTCCTTACCTAATCAGGACCAGTTCATCGACAGCAGGTAAGTCTTCTTATCGGGTTCTTCCTATAGCTTTCCTGTGGATCCTTATGTGGATCTAAATATCTATGTGACAAAATAGTCCCGAATATAGACGATCTCATATAGACCATAGACTATGCACGAGGGGTAAACCGCGGTGGAATTCTGGTGTACAAACAACTTGAATTCCTTGGATTTCCTTGAAGTTCCTTGGAATTCTTTGGAATCCCTCTCGGAATCCCTTGGATTTCCTTGGAATTCCCCGGAATTCCTTGAGTGAAATGCGGTATATTCCTGGGCTAAGAACAACTGGGATTCCTTGGAATTCTTTGTATTTCCTTGGAATTCTTCGAGTGAAGTGTACAAACAACTGGAATTCCTTGGATTCCCTTGGAATTCCTTAGATCTCCTTGGATTTACTTGTATTTCCTTGGATTCTCTTGGATTTCCTTGGAATTCCTTGGATTTCCTCGAAATTCCTTGGATTTCCTCGAGGATTTTCTTGATATTTCTTGGATTTCCTTGGAGTTTCTTGGAATTTATTGTGTGAAGTGTGGTATAATTCTGATTTACAAACAACTGGAATTCCTTGGAATTCCTTGAAATTCCTTGAGAAATTGAAGTTTGGTGTACACAATTTTGACCGCGGTTTACCCCTCGACCGAGCCCTCGACTATGCATGACGCGAGACATGACGAGATGCATTATACATATTTTTATTCACCACTGAATCGAAAGTAGGCATTTGCTCCCTCACAACAATTAACTCCCACAGGAGGAGACAACTATTGCGTCCTCGAAGATTCGTGCAATTGAAGTTATTATCAGTATCCTCATCACTATTATAAAACACGATAAAAAATGTAACAATTTCCTCGACAGTTTCCTTCTTGATTTTTGAGTCCCAATGTTCCCAAACATCTCCTCATATTCCAAACGTTCTTCATCCAATTTTTCTAATGCAAATACTCAATATACAGGGTGTCCCAAAATTGCTAGGACACAGAGCTACCACGTGTAATTCAGTTCAAAATGAGTTGATTGGACCTGACTTATTTATAAAAAAATGTACCGGCTGTCCGTGAGACGAGTTCAAAGTTTACATAAAAAAAACATTTTTGTACGCTGTTCGAGAATGAGTGGAACAAATTAGATGAAATTTGACAGAATAGAGCATTTTAGAGGATAACGCTTCTTTCAGTACGTGATCGAAGAATCCCGAAGATATTGTAGAAGGGATGAAACCACCCACCCTCTAACATTTTTTTTTCAGATCATTCTTAGGAGTGGTAATAAGGTTCTCAATTTTTGTAACCAAGATGAATGATTAATTATATTCATTTTGTTGCTCTTTTGAAAATTTCGTATTACGCATAGTTCCTAAAAAATAATGTTTTCCCAAATATAATGCAAACAGATATTCCTAGTGAAAGTTTGATATCAATACAGGGTGTCCCGAAATTAGCCTGCCAAATCCACCAGCGGCTTCTACGATCAATGATAGAAAGACAAGTTCCAATGAACATGAGTCGTGAAATGTCTCCTAATGGAGAAATATCATCTTCAAGAGAAACTTTTCTTTCCATTTTTAGTCGTAGACGCCGCTGATGAAGTTTGGCAGGCTAATTTCGGGACACCCTGTATTGCTATCAAACTTTTACTAGGAATATCTGTTTGCATTATTGAAGACAACTTTTTTTTTTCGGAACAACAAACAAAATGAAGATAATCAATCAGTCATCTCATTAAAAAGAATTGAGAACCCTATTACCACTTCTAATAATGTTCTGAAAGAAATGTCAGGGGGTGAGGGTGGTTTCAACCCTTCTACAATTCCTTTCGGGATTCTCCTATCACTGAAAGAAGAGTTATTCTCTAAAATGCACTGCTGTCAAATTTCATCCAATTTGTTTCACCCATTTTCGAACAGCGTACAAAAATGTGTTTCTTATGTAAACTTTGAACTCGTCTCACGGACAAATGGTACATTTTTTTTATAAATGAGTTGGGTCCAATCAACTCATTTCATACTGAATTACACGTGGTAGCTCTGAGTTCCAGCAAATTTTGGGACAGAAGTGTCTGATTGATTTTCATTCAGTTTCAGATACCGTCAATTGTCCATGGCATACTAAACCTTTGTAAACGCATATTGATTTGGATAGAGATGTAGATAGACTGCGTGGAGCACAATTTTGAGAAAGACGCACGTTCTTCTTATTTCTTGGTCTTTCTCTTCTTGTCTTGTTCTGGATAAGAGACTATTTCAACCAAGATTTCAACATACTTGGCCTAAACGCTAAACGTCGCCTCATATTTTTTATACAGTACCACAGTTGAAGGAATACCTCGAAGAATACAGTGAGAGTACCTGACTACCCGAGTAGCTACCTAATCACTGTACCTGCCTCCAACAAAAATTAATAAGCTTTTATAGATATTCTTAATCAAAATATTTATTTAGATAAGTTACGTATCTACCTATACCTACCAGTACCTACTTACCTACCAGAACCTACCTTTACAAGAATATCTTGATCTTGGTTTATCAGTCTTTATCGATGTGTTTATAGTGTTTTATAATTGAAATGCATATACCATTGGGCCGAGCATTGTGCTATTGTTTATGTTACGAAGTGATATTTAGCACACAACATGAAAATAACCATTTCAGTTGGACTTGCAGCTGGCAAAATAAATTGAACATCAAAAACAAATAAACATTCTCACTGGGATATCTCCTGATAACAGATTTATTAGTACCTACACCTCGACTTACACTTGTGACGAGACTTGTGATTAAGATAGCTAGAGCGGTATCTATTATCCATCTATAGATACCTATATTTTTTCTCTGAACTACCACGATACTAACAATATTCAATCACATGATCAATAACGAATTAATTGCCATCATTGATCGCAAATTGCAAATACATATATCTTTGTTGACTTTTTGAAGAGTATTTCTCTATATTTTGAAAAAGCAACTTGCATACTTATACAAGGAAAAACACTCTGTTTGTTGACTGATCCTCATCGTCACCCCTAGACATACATGTTTAGTTGCATCACTCAAATTTGGGCAGTGATCCTCAGTTATGAAAATCAAATTGGGTTATTCTGTTTGAATTGCACATTAAAATTATCTGGAGTTCTAGAAATGATACTCGTCTGAAAATGTGCCTACATGACTTATAGATTGGGTTCTGTTCAATTAAAATATTTTCAAGATGGCGGCACTTCCGATTATACCAGAAATGAGATTCCTTATGTTTTTTAGATGATCTGCATTGCTCTTTCCTACACTTCTTCACTTTGCATCTTCCTCCTTGAGAATTGGTAACTATGTCATTTTAGAATATCTGGGAATCATTTTCCACACCAAGTAAGAAACATAATTTATCTTTTTTTTGGTATATTCATGATTGAAGAAAGACGAGGAAAAAGACGAAGGCAAAGAAGAGGGAAAAGGCGGACTAGAAATCTTTTAGAGATTGAATGCCTATTATTTTCTTTCACTAAATGAAATAACTCCCCATCGATCTGTATCATTGATCATTGTTCCGAGAAATGTTCCCTATATACCGTTGTCCGCCTATATGCCTGATAGTTTTCATCGAGGTTTTCATCAATATTGAGGGAAATTCAAAGTAGCAATATGAAAGCACTAGTGCTTTCGCATAGCATAATTCATCAAAAGTATTCACGAAGTTCTGCTTCTATTGAAATATTCCTTCTCGAACTTCAAACGTTCTCGAGTTATGGAAACTAATTCAAAAATATGTTATGAGGATTTCAATTGCATGATAGATAACACTGTGTTAACAAGCTGAACATTTGCAAGGGAAATAAACACTAATGTTATCTATCAGAAATTCATGGAATTCCGAGTGCAATTCCAATATATGCAGAACAAAATGAAAAAAAATTCTAATAGTGATATTTGGTACTCATGTGGAGTGTCGATATACTAGCATATTATTGACAAAAAAATATGCACGACTGACTGCAGTTTCAGTATTTTTTTCGGATTGAGCACCTAATGTAACAACTTTATCATTTCTTGAGGTGTTTCAGTATCTCGCTTTCGAACTCGCTTTGTTTTTGAGATAGAAAATAAGAACCCCCTTATTGCATGTCCATGGACCACACAAAAGCCATGAAAAAAAAATAAGAAAACATTTACTCTTTTTTGCATATATTATATAATGAAATTAAGAAAAGGATTAAATACTGTCTGTAGGTTAATCGAGGAGGTGGTACATTCATTATTCCAAATTTTTTGGGATTTTCTCTCCTCGTTTCTATAAAATGAAATATGAATATTATTTCAATATACGTGTAGTAAGGAAAAATCAGATGATTTGCCCCAAAATGTCACTGCGTTTATAGTTATTTTCCTAACAAGTGCGCAAAGTGTTTCTTTTCCGCACGCAAATACAGTTAGGCGAACGACGCGGAGCGGAGTTCGAATAAGTTGTTGCGTGCGGAAAAGAGACTTTGCGCACGTGTTTGGAACAACGTTTTCCCTACGAGCTTCATATCAAATAAAAAGGAAAATAAAAAAAATTATAACAAGGAGACAATAGCATTGCTTCTTGTTCAGTTGATATAGACAGAACATGGTATTCACTACTAAAATCTGAACATGAAAATGGTAAATTCAAGATTAATTAATGAAAACATCCTGTAACTCATTTGATTGCCAACGTCACCAATTGTCAATGAAAACTGAAAAGCTTCAAGACATATACGACTTCGCTATTGAAATAATCTTTTCTTATGTTGAAAACGGGAGCAGAATCGGTCCCGAAACGTCCAAAGATAAGTGAAAATTTGATATTTTTTCTATATACCTTTATTCCTCTTCTCCAAACTTTTTTAAATACAAATTGTCACTGACAAGCTAGTGAATTTTTCTTTTAGGCTCTCTGATAAAAAATTCTTTAAACGCAGTGACATTTTGGGGCAAATCATCTGATTTGTCCTTACTACACGTATATTGAAATAATATTCAT